AATCAGATTGGGAAATCTGTAATAAAAATAACAATAATTAATTCAATAGATCAAAATGAAAATTAACAAAGACAAATCCTTTTAATGTAGTGTAACTGTTTAATTAAATCATATTACCATGTAGATAATTTTGATTTCAATTGTCTCGTAATCAATTAATTTTTTTGTACCTAGCTATGTAAAGAGATACACACATTGTTTATCACATTATTTGTAACTCATTGACATCGCGAGTCAACAAATTATTCGAGTTAGTTAAATGATGCTGTTTACAACACTAATTCGATAAAGACACATTATGCAAGCCAAGATAAATAAAATACCTACCACAGTTTTTGCATGAAAAATTGACATGGAAGTTTTACCACATTTGCAATGAAGTAACCGATTTAATTAACTTTTAAACAACACTAGATCGACTTATTTTTTAGGTTATTAAGCGAATATTAACGATTTACTCACTTTAACGTGAATTCGTAAGTCATAAACAGTGCTCGCAGTTAGGTTTGCGCAGTGGGCAAACAATAGCACCGCGAACTTGATCGCGAAGTAACGCAATGATTATTAAAACCACATGTACGTAAAAGCAAACATCTTTCAAAAATAATCTTCACAAAGCAAGAAGAAGTTATATTTAAATACACTAACAATAACAATTATTATTAGACAAATAATTTTTTTACCACTACTTTTTAATATAAGTATACATCGAAGACGCCGTCAACATCATTAAAGACAGTACAACTGTAGGGATAGATGTGCAAGGGCAAAAGATTAGTATGCTTAGATTTGCAGATGATATAGCAGTATTAGCATCTAGCAAGGAGGACCTAGAGATAGCTGTAAATAAAATGGAAGCGGTACTGACAGATCAGTACTGTATGAAAATAAATAAAACTAAAACTAAAATACTGGTATGCAAGGGAAGAAAAAGTAGAGAAAGAGCGAATATAAAGATACGAGACGAAAAATTAGAAGAAGTGGCTGATTTTAGATACCTAGGATGTCAGATAAGTCAGGACGGAAGGAGTAGTAGGGATATAAAGCAGAGGATAGCGCAGGGTCGTGTCTTAGGACTGACGACCTTATAATGATGATGAATTATTTAGTATATCTAATTAAAAATGAAAAAGGCATTGTGGTTGCCTTTATTTTTGTATAAACGATTGATTACCAATATGTAAAGTTTAATACCGTCATAATAAATATTTAAATAGTCAAAAGGGGTTGAAAATAATAACCGCCAACGTTTCGTTCTAAGTAATCGAGCTTTTCAAGGCTAGCTTTTGAACTAGAATAATGAAGTAAAGGTAAAGCATACTTTTTTGTTACCTCAGATCGTTCTAAGACCATCCAAGATGCTCATCAGTAAAATAGACAGAACTGCATCCTTATTTACTTCTAAAACTAGCCTTACGAAGGCCTGACAAGTTAGAGCGAAACGTTAATAATAAATATCTTAAACTTTTGGATAGATAAAGCGATAGGCTTATTAAAAGCGAGGTTATTCTACCGGCATCAGTGACAATACATATTGACCCCATTTTCATGGTAATAAACAGAATAATTAAATTAGTATACTGTACCAATTATAAAATTGGCAAAACCATAATTACTGATTATAAACCTAAAATACATTTATTACAAAATTTCAACGTAAAAAAAATAATTACTAATAAATATTTAATATAGAAAAAACAATTAATAATAATGTATTGTATTAAAAATGGATTATTTTAACAATGTTATTTAAACGTAATGATGAAGCACTCTAATCGAGAGCTTTCATGTACGCTTACATTTAATTTATTTACTTCTAATATCGTAAATTACGTCCGGTTCGTAATCTACTAATTTAATTAATTTTTTGAACACAGTATTTGACACGAAATTTTGTTTTTTTGAGGATATTAAAAGTTACATGCTAAAATTCTAACTAATATGCGAATGGGAGTTCGTTTGTTTGTTTGATTTTCACGCCTTAACCATTCAACCGATAATCATAAAATTTTGTGCATACATTTTCAGGGGTACGGAAAAGGACATAGGGTACCTTTTATCTAGATAGAAAATAATGTAAATGCGTTTTTTGCACTTCGTGATGTTTAACAAGTTTAATTATTCCAAAAAGATTGTTAATCACATTTCTCAATTTTAATAAGGGTTGGACTTGAAGGTTTAGTTATATGTATATATGTTAGAACAAGAAAAAGATAAAAGGGCTCTCAATATATCTCCTCCATAAATAATAAGGGTAAAACATTTTCTCGCCATCTTAATAATGGTAGGTCACGTACATATCTCCATTTAGCTAATGAAAGTAAGCCTTGCATTGGCCTTAATTTGAATTACGTTTAGGTTTAGATAATTATAATAAAATGTAGAGGAAATTGTGGAAACTCTTGCAGTCAATTATCCTGGGCTGTTATTGAAAGTCATGATATTGTACGATAAATCACAGTATTTAGTAAAAACTCATTGGTATAAGGTTACAAACTTAATTTAAGTCTTTACCGATTAATTGTTCAAAAGGAATTAAATTTTCAATTGCATAAAGCATACATACCCATATTCCATATTGAGTTTTTTCGAAGGCAAATGGTATTGACACAAAATTATTCATGCAGTTATAAATTTGCAATTTTTAATCGATTTGCATGTCTAATAATGACCATATTATAATACTAATATGGTAAGAGAAATGTTATTGGTTTGTGCACCAAGTAAAACTGCAGTTACGACACCTTCCTCCTTAGAGTTGACCCCAAATATTACAATGTTATCAACAAAATAATACAATACAGCAGGAAACTGCTATACTGGCTACCAAACAAAAGGAATGAAAAAATAAGGACATGAACATGACAACAGTCACTTCGCTCTTGTTGTCTTTTCCTATTGTGACCTTATAAACCTAAGCGTATCCGTTAAAAAATAACCCTGCCAGCTTCCAAGATGGTTTTGTAAATTCATGCACATATATTTTTAGAAAAATAAACAAATAAATAAAAACTAATACTACAATAAATTTTATAGACATTTATAAATCGTTCACAGCATATGATAAACTCCCTTTTACGTAATGATCGTAGTTGCTACTGTTTAATCAATAATATACCTTAACAAATTAGTATGCCAGGTGAATATATAGTGTACATACTTCATGTACAATACCTTGTAAAAATTTCAATGTTAGGCATTGACCCCTTTCTGTAGCAATGGCAAACATACCAAATGTGAATATTAAACAGTATCTTGCAATACATTATACGCCTTATGTACTCCAATTGTATATATTTAATTCAGCAGACTTACTACTTGACCAACGTAACCACAGTATAATGATTCTGTACAGTAGGTTAGGTTATGCTAGGTAAGGACCTTCGTAACAACAGCATAAAGATTCTATACAGTAGGTTCACTTCTTTGATCTACTTAAAAAAATTTGCTTCGTGACTTCTCGATGACACTTTGTACAAGTCAGCCCTTGTTTAGCGGGGAACTCGTACATTAAGTGGTGAAGCGTCGGCAGGAGAGGGATGTGTGGGCGTGACTCGGAAGTGAACCTACTGTATAGAATCTGTATACTGCGACCTAACGTGGTCTCTCACGATCTTGTTAGTGTTTGCGTCACTAATGAGCGCCTTATTAATCATCGAACTGAATTATTTGAAAGACGTAATCATGGTAATTATTTTTAAAAGGATTATCGGCTAATTTAGTGTGCGACGTTAAATGCTTACTGCATCATTATTCCGTATCCACGGGGGTGGACATACTAAATACACTATGTTAGAACTAAAATTGTATCCGTACTGAAATGCTGATTTTATTTATTTCCCATATAGAATTCTGTGTAAACACGCGAGTAGGATGATTAATAAATTAATGATAATGAGATTATATGCAAGGCTTATTATGTAATTCGAAACAGCATGGATCGATATACTGTTAATTGATAAAACTTTTTACAAATAATTATTGCTTAATAAAAAAAGGTATAAGTACAATGTTTCTGCAGTATAAAATGCAGGTAAGTTTTTTGTATTGATAAAATCCTTCGCACCACTGGAAGCATGTCAATGTCCTCAAAATTAAAAGTTTCAATGGCAACCTTACGATGAAGTTCTTGGCTATCGACCTTCATACAGGTTATGCAAATTTACCAAAAAACGTATTCCATGCCCTCGAAAACAAACTTTTTTTTGTTATTTAGCGAAAATAAAATTCATCGTCAATAGCAAAAAACTGCTTGCTTTGACATATACGACTTCTCGAATTCTTTAAGGCAATGTTACTGTCTTAATAATTGATTCAGCAAATTAGAAGAGAATTTTGCGTTGGTGAATCTGTTTTTTAAAACGATCATAAAAATATTTCATATATATTAAGATTTGATACTGCTGTTGACTCTTGTGGCTTAGTATTCATAGCATTAGTGTGCCAAGCCAAAGATTCTGAGTTCGATTTCCGGCAAGGGTGTGACAGTAGCAGTTACTGTTCCTCATTAAGATGTGGTAAACTGTAGAGGGTTGAATACTAATGCACATTACTGTTTAATTAAATTATTAAGAGTTTTTATATGTATACTCAGGATTTTGAAACACGTTAATTGTTTGAGAAACATAATAAAACATGTCATGCATGAAACACAAGTTATATAGAGTATTATATTTGAAAGTTTTATTAGCTTGTGGGTTAATATAACCATAAACCCACCTATTTAATATGTTTCTAAATAAATGCACTACATTTGTATCATCTAAAATCTAAACTAACATCAGCGTGCCATGATATTCGAAATAATTAATGATTTACATTAATGGAACGTAATTGTTTATGATCATATTCTAATAAATTACCATAACAAATTATTTTTGATATGTTATAGATACCTACTTAATCGCAAAATTATAATTTTTGACACTTTTTAACAGGAATTTCATAAAATCTTACTCTCAGTAAGTAAACCCCTATTGTCAATATAATTTTTATTTAAGAACCATGGGTTGGTTTACAACTTTATCCTTGTTGGTTAGTTTGTTATTGATGGTTTCCTGTAAAAAAAACGGCCAATTGCCAGGCAATATAGTACCGGAAAATTACAACTTGGAGATAATAACACACTTGGCAGATGATGAACATGACAAGTTCACTTTTGAAGGGAAAGTTATTATAAGGGCAAGTATCACATTTCTTTCATTATTTTAAAAAATCGCTTTATTAGTATTATAAACCGGATGTACTTATAGATTATTTCAAATTGTTTACTATTGTGGTGTAAATATATGGTACTAAATACGGTTTTACAGGTAAGGTGTGTAGAACCCACCGATAAAATAATCCTTAACGTATTGGACTTGGAAATCATTGATAACAGTGTCATAGTTGATGAAGTTGGAACTGACAAGCAAGTTAACGACGTTAATGAATGGTGTCAATGTAACGAGAACGAAACTTTGAGTCTGTCATTGGACAGACACCTAAAACCAAATCATACATATGACATTAGCATTCGATTTACCGGAAACATAAGCGATGGATTATCGGGATATTATAGAAGCAGTTATGTTGACAGCATGACGAATGAAAGAAGATGGTTAGCTGTAACGCAGTTTGAACCGACAGATGCCAGAAGGGCATTCCCTTGCTTTGACGAACCAAACATGAAAGCCACTTTTCAAATAAGTCTTGGAAGATTAGCAAAATACAGCTCCATAAGTAATATGCCCATTGAGAGGACAGAACCAATGTAAGATTTCGGCCAACTGCTTCTGTGTTCGGAAACGTATATTCAGCGTTTTGTTTTCAGAAAAGAACGAGAGGGATGGTTTTGGGACAGATTTCAAAAATCAGTACCAATGTCGACTTACATAGTAGCTTACATGGTATCCGATTTTAATTCCACACTAGCTCCAAGAATTCCAAACAGCGATGTCACATTTAGAATTTGGTCCAGAGAAGAAGCAATGGACCAAGTAAATTATATTAATATCTACAATATTCATTCGAGGGTGTTAAAAATATCTCTGCGTTAATTTTTAGGTTGACTTTGCTGCGGAAGTTGGTCCCAGAGCGTTGGCTTTCTTTGAAAATTTCTTCAACATAACGTATCCCCTTCCAAAGCAAGATATGATTGCTGTTCCAGATTTTAGTGCCGGCGCTATGGAAAACTGGGGACTGATAACATACAGGGAATATTTGTTGCTTTTCAATCCCAAAACCTCATCGTTAGCAAACAAATTTTCCATTGCAAGCGTTGTTGCGCACGAACTGGCTCACCAATGGTTTGGAAATTTGGTAACGATGAAATGGTGGACGGACTTGTGGCTTAACGAAGGTTTTGCTACTTATATGGCATCTCTCGCAGTCCATAATCTATATCCTAAATGGAAAACTTTTGACGAAGAAACGGTATCCAATATGATGTCAGTCTTTTCTTTTGATTCCCTAAAGAATTCACATCCGGTTTGTATATTTTCCTATACAGTCTTCTGAGAATTGTCTCTAAGTTTTAAACACTTCCGTGACAGGTTTCTGTACCCATCGAAAATCCAAAAGACATAAAGGAAATATTTGACACAATATCATATGACAAAGGATCCCATTTGCTTTTCATGATGGCCAACTTTTTGGGAGACGAAACGTTCAGGAGGGGAGTCAGCAATTACTTGGAGCGCCACAAATACGGCAACGCTGAACAGGACGACCTTTGGGAATCTCTAACGATCGAAGCTCATAGAAACGGAGCACTCCCTGAAGGTTTGTCTGTCAAGACCATCATGGACACTTGGACACTTCAGACAGGATATCCGATTGTGACAGTCAACAGGAACTACGACGATAATTCAGTACAAGTATCTCAAGTGAGTAAATTGGTATGTCACTCTAACGGGCTCAATTGATTCGAGTTCTGCTTTAGGAGCGGTATTACCGAGACTTCAATGCTAGTCATAATGACGAATGCTGGTGGATCCCACTGAGTTATACAGACCAAAGCGAACAAGACTTTGAAAACAGACGTCCAAGAGATTGGTTGTCTTGTCCAAAGACTGTCAAAACGATATCGAATATTTGCGACGAAGATGAGTGGATCATACTCAACATAAGGGCGGCCGGTTTGTACAGAATCAATTATGACGAACGAAATTGGGGTATGCTGGTGTCGACCTTGAATAGCGATTCATACACGGACATTCCGATTCTAAACAGGGTTCAGTTGATTGAAGATTCCGCGGATTTGGCGGCTACGAGTAAATTGAACTACAAAGTTTTCTTTGACATTCTTCGGTATTTGAATAAGGAAACAGAATATCTACCTTGGAGAGCAGCAACGGGAAACATTCGGTTTTTGTATAGTATGTTGCGTTACAGTTCCAGCTTTGGATCATTTAAGGTAAGAAAGCATCGTCATCATCATAAGGTCCCGTCTTGAGATCATCTTCATATTTTGCTAATAGTAGAACATCCCACATCCTTAACTCTTTGCAGACAGTAATCTAGTCCAAATCTACCTCCCAACTCCTGTTTCTGCCTCTAATATGTCACTGACTAGACCTTCATTCCTGAGAAGGTGCCCTACCAACCTATCTCGCCTATTTCCTATTGACTTCCATAGAGTCCTCTGTTCTCCTATTCTTTCGAATACCTCTTGATTTTAGTGTCCGACCGAAACTGGTTTTTACGACCGAAACCGAAACCGAATTTCGGCAACGGTCTCAGTTTCGGCCGAAACCGAAACTTCCTTATAAGGATCATGTTTTGAGAGAAAAATAAAGAAAACGTTATTATAATCGGTCAGTTTTATTTTTTTATCTTTAAATCACATAGCTCTGCAGTCTTTGACATTTTCTCTTATTGATAATCAAATCAAAATCAACATAACAACCCCTCATTTAAGGAAATACTTTAATTGCGCCTTAAAAATACTTAAAATGTGGTGAGTTATTTGAGTATGTATAGTATACTTCGCTTGGATGGAATTTAACGCACCGAATATGACCGAGCAGAGCGCGAAAACCCCCGAACTCAGTTTCGGTTTCGGTCGTAGTTTCGGCAGGTTTGCCGCCGAAACCGAAACTAAACTGAAACTCGTTTTTTTGCCGAAACTCGACCGAAGCCGAAACCGAAACCGAACTTTCGGACGGACACTACTTCATTTCTGACCTTCTCTATCTACGGTACCCTCATTTCAAACGATTCTAACCTGTTTTCCGCCGCGCACAACACAACATGCACCTTTAACAATATTTTTCGAATTTCTAAATTGATCATTCGCGAAGAAGGCATCTACTGCCTGTTGTAGTATTGGTATATTGCTGTAAAAACTTGCCAAATGCTTTTGTTCCCAGTCAATATCTATATATTTGGTTGCCGATTTATAGAACCTACCATGGCGTGCTGATGGGAACTAGTAAGATCTGATGGTCTCAATACATTGCTGACCAAGAGCTTAACCATCTTTAGTTAATGAAGTTCTATTTTATAAAATGATCATTTTAGGAGTATATGAAACGTATCTTGGAGCCTGCGTACAAAAGAATTGGAGCATTAAGAGTCGATCATGAGGATGAAGACCGATTGGACAGAATTAATTACAAAACCCTTATTCTTTCAAACGCCTGCAATTACGAAGCAGAGGCGTGCATCAACGAAACTAAAAGAATGTTCTCGGAATATGTCAGCAACCCTGACGTAAACTTGTACGTTCTTTTCTTTCATAAGAATACCAGTGGTGTTGTCGAGCCGGAACGCTCCGGAACGTCGTTCCGGTACTTCCTTTTTGGACAGGAACGCGTTCCGGAACTAAAGATGATTTCTGATAACGAGAATTGGCTGACGTATTGAAAAAAAAAATTAAAAACAATTGCTGATTTTTTTTTCTAATTTTTGACGAATTTTTATATGTATTATTATAAACAAGGGTTTGAACCGAACCCGAACCGGAACAAAAACCGGAACGAACCGGCTTGTTTTTCCGAACCGTGAACCGGAGTCCGGAACGTTTTTTTTCTGCTGAACCGGAACTCGAACCGAACCGAAACAAATACGTGAACCGGTTTTTGAACCGGTTCAACGGGAATTAAACTTTATTTATAATAAACATTAGAAGAAAAAAATATAAAATTTTAAAAAAGTAAAGATTTCATACATAAATTTTAATACAAGCGGCCCACGGACCGTACGTTACTCATCCCTGGCATAGTTTATTGCCATACCCAAATGGGCCTGCGGCTAATGCTAAGAATATATATACATATACACAAAATGGGTTTCGTAATGATTTTCGTTTCTTTTCCTTTTTATGCTATATACAGGGCCGATCCTGGCGACGGGCGAAAATTGGGGGAAATCACCCCCCCGTCGTCATCAAATTTGGGATATGAGACCGCACAGAGCGGCCGCCTACTCAGGATTGGCCCTATCTATATAATTATATATACGCGTTCCGGTAAAAAAAAAATTAGCGCAACACCACTGAAGAATACCGAATACATTTCACCCTATATAGTCTCAATTGATACGTGTTTCAATTTTAAGAATTCCCAACGATTTCCGGTCATCGATTTATTGTAATGCAATGAGGCACGGCGGTGAAAGAGAATGGACCTTCTTATGGAACAAATACAAAGAGTCGGGAACAGCCGGCGAGAAACAATTAATTCTACAATCGTTGGGTTGCACCAATACCATCTGGTTGCTGCAACGGTATTTGGAATGGACCCTCGACGAAAGCTCCGGTATTAGAAAACAAGATGCGATAACTGTATTTGGTTCAGTTGCCAGGAACGACATCGGATACAGCATTGCAAAATCATTTTTCGAGAACAACATAAAAAAAATATACGAAAGGTGAGACCAGCGCCAAATATTTCCTTGTTTGCCAATAGTTATTGGTAAATATTAATTTCTTCTTTTTATTTCAGCTCGAAACCTAACACCAATAAATTATCACGTTATTTATCAGTAATTGCCAAACAAGTTGTAAGCGAGAGAGAATACAATGAGGTAAGTGTGAAATTGAGAGCTTTTAAATCAACTGAATTACCCTAGACAAAAATTTTCAGTCTCTCTCCAGTCTCTCAGAGTCTTTCAGCCTCTCTGAGAGCGTCTCTCACAATCTCCCAGTTATTGCCTAGGTGTTTTTATGGATGTCTCACAGTCTCTGTATGAGAGACTCGAACAATAAAATTGTTAATTCAAAGATTGAATGAATAAAACTGAAAAATTGAGAGACTCGAGTCTCTCGTAGAAAGACTGGGATCTCTGAAATATGTTGAATTTTAACCATGTCTATCGAGACATCATTTATTGGCAGATTCGAGTCTCTCGTTCAGAGATTCCAGTCTCTCGTTCAGAGACTGGATACGAAATGAGGATCTCTCTATGAGCGACTTGAGTCTCTCGTTGAGAGACGCTAAACAGTTTTTTTGACAGTCTCTCTCAGTGACAGCAGAGAGACTCGATGAGAGACTGAACATTTTTATTTCGGGTAATTAATGAAAATTTAGAAACTTTCAATAGAAAAATGCAAACAGGAAATGAAAGCCTTAGGTATTGTCGTTTATGTTGAAATTAATATGAGAGAATTTAGGGTAAATAATCCTCCGAAATGATAAAAGGAAATTTAAAAAACAGAGACATATGTTTGCAATTCTCTAAAAAAAAGTTTGAAAGTAAAACAGGGTAAATATGGTGATAAATCAATACATTTTTTCAGCTCAAGCAATTCATCGATCAACACAGCGAAATATTTTCCGAATTAAGAAAAGGTGTCCAACAAGCCTTAGAGTCTGCGGAACTTAACATTCAATGGCAAATGTCGCATCTGAATCACGTTAAAGACTTGTTAATATAAATTGTAATTACATTCTATTTATTTGTACTTAAAAATAATGTAATCATGCTCTAAAGCGTACTTACTTGAATCTAAAAGAGAAAAAGAAGAAGAGTGTATTGAGTTTATTTATTGATGTAACTCTTTTGATTTGTACTACTGTATACACAAAAAGCATGTGACTGTAATATTAAATGAAATATATATTTTTTGATGCCATTATTTCCTTTCTAGTCGAAATCCATATTTTAGCTTCGAAAAAATCGACTTCTTAATCCGTAAAGTTTTGCATTTAAATTCAATTTCTGTTGACGATAAAAAGTATTGACGCTAAAATGAAACTTTTAGCATGAACTTGCGTGCGCAATTTTGGGGACGGAAGTTGAGTGCGCAATTTGGGGAACAAATACGCACACATGCACATTACTTTTTGACGTGACAACGTCTTATAATTCGATGGAGCCGGCTGCACGCACGAAAAAACATGACTCATGCGGCGTTACCTCGCTCTGAGGCGTTCCATTTAAGGCTTGAAGTGCAAGCGAGAGCGCGGAACGAGCGACAAAGAGGCACAATCGGCCTCCGCGTTCGGCAGCGTTCGACATCTGTCTCTCTCCTACTTGAGTGAGCGATGCGTCCGCGTGGACAGCTGCTATACAATAATACATTTCCATTTACCTCCTTCTCTATATCCATACAAAATATCTATCAAACAAATAAAATTAAAATTTTCTTTTGAAAAATGAAACCATTCCATCAGTATTTTCTTATGACGTTGTCACGTTCAACTATCGTCAGTAAACCGACTTTACAGACAACCGATTTTTTCGGCAAATTAGGATTCACATTGTTTTTGATTTTTAAAATCACTTTTTTGAAGGTTTGTCTAAAGTGCAAACTGAAAAAGTTAATAAATAAATTAAAATTAATTTGTCCCCGTCGGGAAAAACTACATTTGTAGTACTTTATGTTAACGCTGCCTCTGAGACTGTTATTTCTTAAAACAATTTTGCTGCAAGTCGTAAATATAAATAAGTAATTATTTTTGAAATTTTATTGCAATTTAGGTATTGCATTTATGTTTTCTTAAATAAAACATATCGGAAATATTGTTAAGAAAGGTAATATAGACTTCGAATTGAATAGAACGCATTTCGAAAAAATTTAACGAATTTAGCAGTTGTGAACGCATAATATCCGTTTCACAAAGTAATTATAACAAATCACAGGTTTTCATCAAACTCTGCTTCATCAGATGTCAACTCGAAATAGATGTTTTTCGTTCAGGTAAAATACAATTTACACGATAGCAGTGATAATATTATATATTTATAAAATTAAGGCTACCCGTATTGATTAAAATTAATTAATTTGATACTGTAATTAGTGCCGTATGTTGTGGATTTACTATAAAACGTTTTTATAATAAATCGAATTATAAGAACAAAAGTACTAATTTTACAAAATTTATTCAAAACGATGTCGTTTGACCAGTTAGGCCATTGCTAAACGATATAGAGTTGTATTGGTACTCTTCAAGAAATTAGAACGAATTACTGACTAAAATAATTAATGTTTATATTTTAAAACTGTTTTTAAAACTTTTTTTAAAGAGTTGTGTCGCATCTGACGACTCTACACCTGTTGACCAATTTATTGGTGGTGTCAAGGGGTACAAAAATTGGTCTATTGCCAGGAAATGTGATACCAGAACATTACAATTTGGAAATAAAAACGAATTTGGCAGATGATGAAAAGAATAAGTTCACTTTTGAAGGATGTGTTGAAATACTGGCAAGTTTTAAATTTTGCATTATTGATTCTACTTGCTTACAATATTATAATACAGTTGGTTGCTTCTAACAGGTTTAACTTCTTTTAAAATGACTCCTATTGTATATAGAGGGTGCAACAGAAATAGGTAAAAAATTGCAATAAATTAAAACCCGAAGCCGGTCCTGGACGTGAATTGGCAACATATATGAGGGTGTCTACCGAATAGCATAGTGTGATAAAAACTACATGGATGGAATATGTAAACATTGTGCCGATTGTCAAACGTCTCAGATAAACATAAATAATTTAGTACTACACATAATGCTGGAACTAAATAAATTAAATAATTGCATTGCAGGCAGCACTATCCAAATGTACTTACATAAAAGAAAGAAAAAATGTAAGCTACTTAAACATAACTCGGTAAATAAGTATAATTTGGATAATTGTAACTTTATTAAGGTAAATTTCCACACCATCATTAAGCATTGCTACGGCGCATTAATCATCAGTTGAGTGCAGCGTTGCGGGCCGTATTTCTTTACCAGGGCCGGAATTGAATTTACCTATACTTTCAACTATTTAATTTTCATGTTTTACAGTGCTCCGGCACCCTATTTCTGTTACACCCTGTATTCACCAGATGGGAAACTAACCAAATCTACTTCATCAAACTCTCTCTCTCTCTGTAAATATTAAATAAGAGGGATAGAGATCTATTAACACGTTCGATTTTTGGTCACAGTATTCCCAGACCTAGGGGATTTAGAATGTGCTTGGGAAATGGGGAATTTTATTTAATTTATAATATAATTTAATTTTTGTGCCAACTGAATTTTTGTTGTTTAAAGATTACTTGCACTTGAATTTTATTTGTTTAAACATCCTTTTTTGGTCATAAAAATCTCCGAGCAACACGGAACTTTGTTGCAAGAAACTTAAATATTTCTTTAAAAAAACGAGGGTCTGAATAATTTTGGTTAATAATAAATCCAATTTTGTAGGTGCAATGCTTGAAACCGACAGATACTATAGTTCTCAACGTGCTTGAACTAACGATTTTAGACAGTATCAATATCACCGGATACGAAGATAGTGCACATGACACCTGTGTAAAGAAATGGTCTTTAGAAAAGAAAAATGAAACTCTAAATGTTACATTATGTGATTCTTTACGGGCAGGTTTCCACTATAACATCAGCATAGAATTTGTGGGAAATATTACCAACAAACTGGTAGGATATTATAGAAGCAGTTACTTCGATAACAAGTCGAACCAAACGCAATGGTTGGCTGTGACGCATTTTGAACCAACGCATGCCAGAAGAGCATTCCCATGTTTTGATGAACCAAGTTTTAAAGCTACATTCCAAATAAGTATTGGAAGAATGGAGAAATACACTTCCATAAGTAACGAAGTTGTTGAGAAAACTGAACCTATGTAAGAGTTCATTAAAATAATATATTTGTAGCTTCTTTGAAGACTAACCAGCTCATAAAAAATGTGTTCCTGTTTTGCAATAGTTAGAAACCCTTTTACTTTTTGTTTTAAGGAAGGATAGTAAAGGTTGGTTTTGGGATAGATATCGGAAAAGTGTAAAAATGTCAACATACATGGTAGCTTACGTTGTGTCTGACTTTAAATTTACCACAGCCAAACCAATTTCTGGGAATTCTGTGACATTCAGAGTTTGGTGTAGAGAGGATGCAATTAATCAGGTAAAATAAAAATTAACTTCGACTTTCTTTAAAACTTTCTCACCTAAACACGATTCCCACAATTGTCACTTTTTCCACATTTAATGTCAAATATTCGTGAAGAGTATGTCCTATTTACTACACATAATTCAAACTGTCTGATCAGTATTCTGGAATATTAAAAGGGTTAGGATAGCACCACAACGTAGGAGATGTAAAAAGTATGCACCAAAACTAACCCAGTATATGATTGAAAACAGCTATCAGTTCTGCAGTCGCGTTAGTTTAATGCAGTTCGTTATCGTAAGCGAAACACGTATACCTATTTGTTACCTTCGCAACATCTGATACGTGGACGAGTCAATTGTACGTAACGATTAGTAATAATCTGCAGTCGTTAGCGTTCGATTGGTTCGAGCAGTTGGAGTTTTCAGTAAGGTCATTACCCTCAGGTTTATGTATATGTCTGAGTGGTGCGAGATGGCCCATTCTACTTCTTTTTCACGTACCTCTTTCTCTCTTAATTTTCCTGAAGTACTGACCAGACGTAGTATATAATGTCCGTAAAATCATTGATATAACAACGAAAATAGGGATCGCAGATAATTAGTTTCAATGGTGGCCCAATAACTCAAAATGCTGAACAAGATTTTTCTATATTAAAAAATGCTCCTAAAGGCACAGCTCTAAGACGACTTGTCCATGCAACTCGTCGGTAGTTAAGCCAACACCACATAAAATTCATCCCAAGGTAAAAATCAGAATTGTCTTTGTTACAGCTAACAAAGCAAAGATAATTGATAAGTAACCGCATCCTACATATACTCCGTACATAAATATACACGAGCATGCATAAATTGATACCACAATACAAATATTTCTTATATTGATATGCAGACTAAATTTGCAAGTGAAATGGGACCAAAAATGCTAGCAACCTTTGAAGAATATCTGAACGTTTCACTTCCTATTCCAAAACAAGACATGGTAGCTATACCGGATTTGAAGGTTGACGCTATGGGAAATTGGGGATTAATAACTTGTAGAGAAAATTTGCTGCTGATCGATCGGAAATCGTCTTCATTTTTTGATCAGCTAGCTGCTGCAAGAGTAGTTGGTAACAAAATAGCTCATCAATGGTTTGGAAATTTAGTCACCATGAAGTGGTGGTCGGATTTGTGGCTGAAAGAAGGCTTTTCAACTTACATGGGAGCTGCACTGGTTCAAAATGTTTATCCTCAAGTAGATTCATTTGACGAATCGACACTGAGCAATATGCGGTCGGTATTTTCTTTCGACGGTCTACAGGATTCACATCCGGTAAATATATCCACATTTTTAGAGGGTTATTGAGATTGCGTTCCTTTTGAGGCATCGCACGTCAGTTACTGTAACCAAAAACATTGTTTAAATTAACACATTCTGTATATAAATACACATTTAATTTTTTTCATGCAGCCATGTTTCGCTTTTTATCACGCATCATATTTTGTTATTAAAGATCTCTCAACCGGTTAGAACAACCGGCGAAATAGATGCAATGTTTGACACGATATCGTATAAAAAGGGATCATCGATTTTGTTTACCGCTATCGACATTTTGGGGGAAGAAGCGGGAACAGTGGGACTGACTAACTATTTGTTAAAACACATGTACGACAATGTCGAACAGGACGATCTCTTTGAATCATTGACACATGCAGGTCACACGATGGGCGTACTTGAAGACGATTTGGATTTCAAGACCATACTGGATACGTGGACGCTTCAAGCAGGGTACCCTGTTGTAACAGTTAACAGAAATTACAAAGACAATTCACTACGTGTCACTCAGGTTAGTTTACGAACATTGAGCATTATCTATCGTCACCATCATCATAATGTCGTCAGTCCTAAGACTGGTTGGACACGCACCTCCACTCTTTCTTATCCTGAGCTCAACTTCGCATTTCCCTAAAACTAGAACAGCCCACATCCCTAACTATTTGCGAAGAGTAATCTAATCTAGGTCTACCTCTACCCCTCCTAACTCCTGTTTCTGTCTCTAATATGTCTCTGACTAGACCTTCATGCCTGAGAAGGTGTCCTACTAACCTATCTCGCCTATTTCTTATTGACTTCCATAGAGTCCTCTGTCTTCCGATTCTTTCTAATATCTCTTCATTTATAACCTTCTCTATCCACGGTATCCTCATCATTCGCCTGTAACACCACATTTCGAACGCTTCTTACTTTTTCTTTTCCGTAGCGCCCACTAGCCATGTATCGCACCCATACAGCGCCGTGCTTCAAACATACACCTTTAACAACTTTTTCGAATTTCTAAATTAATCGTTCGCGAGCATAGATGTGACTTGTTTTTATTGAAGGCGACTCGACCCTTCGCTATCCTCTGTTTTATACCCCTACTATTCATTCCGTCCTGACTTATCTGACTTCCTAGATACCGAAAATCAGCCAGTTCTCCTAATTTTCGTCTCCTATCTTTATATTTGCTCTTTCCCTATTTTTGCTTCTCTTGCATACCAATATTTTTGTTTTACTTTTATTTATTTTCATACGGTACTGTTTTGTCAATACCGCTTCCATTTTATCTAAAGCTATCTCTAACTCTTCCTTGCTAGATGCTAATAGTGCCATATCATCTGCTAATCCAAGCATTCTAATCGTTTTGTACTGTCTTTAATGATGTCGATCGCGTCTTCGATGTATAGATTAAAAAGTAGCGGGGTCAGTCTGTCTGACTCTCTTCCTAATATTTACTTCTCTACGTTGCAGCCCCAGCTCTATAACTGCCTGTTGCTCCTTATACAAACCAAGCATCACTCTTCTATCTTTCTGACTCATCCTTACATCTTTAAGTATATTTAAGATCTTGTTTCCATTGTATTATTCTAAAGTCTCCACTCTAGAAGTCTCCAGCTTCTGGTCAACGAACTTCACTAATGCCTACTAGTCTAATTCTAATCTATCCATCTCAATTTTTAAATTTTCCAATTTCCCTACTTCCTTCATTGTCCTAACATTCCACGCTCCGACTTGTCAAATATTGCACCTACCCCTATTGCACTTATTGATGACATCCCCCGAGATAGTCCCCGCCCAGACATCCGAGTGAGGGACTAGTTTACGTTCTAAGTTCTTTATCCCAGAGGACGCCATCATTTTTGTTTGGTGTGTTCTACTTGTCATGTGTGTGTCATACCGATCTTCGTGATCTCTACCACCCTGAGTACTGAAAGAGCTGCTACCCTCTTTCAGGGACTTGTCTTAGTTTGGTTTCTCTTTAAGAACCACCCCGTTACAGCTGAACCAATGGCACAGCTCCCTAAATCATCGAAACCCGCAATCTACCTATCCACCCACTCTCTAGCTTGTACAAAACTTTCGTCAAGATTCGAGTCCCGTTGGATCAGAAAAGTGTGGAACGCTTCACAATTTTGCATTATCTATAAAATTAATTAAGAGATTGTACCTCGTACCTCATTTTAGAGGCGATACTACCAGAATCCCGACGCACCTCACAATAATGGATGTTGGTGGATACCACTGAGTTATACAAATAAACAGGAACTAAATTTTACAAATACGCATCCAAAAGCATGGCAGACATGTCCAAAATCTGAAACAATTATAAATAATGTCGCTAAGAAGGATGACTGGATTTTAATAAATTTGAGGGGAACAGGCTTGTACAGGGTAAATTACGACGACAAAAGCTGGGAGATGCTGATATCTGAATTACTTAGTGATACATACAGGGTTGTACCCGTCATGAACAGAGCCCAACTGATTGAAGATTCTGCGAGCTTAGCAGCCGTGTCAATAATAAGCTACAAATATTTTTTTCGACTTTTACACTACTTGAAAAAAGAAATGCGATATCTTCCTTGGAAAGCAGCAGACGAACGCATTCATTATTTACACGTTATGCTGCGTTACACTTCAATATATCCTTCTTTTCAAGTAAGTGAAAGTATTTTAATATCTATCGTTTACAACGACGCACCGGTTAATACGTCAAATATAAGGGGTAACTTATTCTACTTACGACGAACCCTATTCATTGATGGACGATGTACATGTTTTTTCCTGAGTGTTCATAATTTCTCAATCATTAGGCAAATCTTTTTAATAACAAACTAGTTTATCAAAAGTATGTCAAGATAATCATGCTCATGGAAGATCATTGGATTTTCGGATTTAAAGGCAATGTGCAATCTAAAATAAATTTCGTGTTTCTGCGTAGTTTTTTTTGGTGAAAGTCAGTCTCCCCTTTGATTATATCAGATAGCTAAACGTAAGGGTAACAAAGCTTTAATCATTAACTATAACACAATAATTTAGATATTGTGTGAAAAATTTCTTTGTACTTGAACAAAAAGTTGTAGAAGTTCGTGAGGCACATATTAGAGGAAATAACAAAAAAAATGAAAACCAAAAAACTAGACCGAAAAAATACGGAAAACATAAGACTTGTGGCTTTAATCGGTTCACTCTGCTGCAAATATGATGTGGGAGATTGTAGAGATAAGGCGACTTTGGAGGCATACATTAAAAATCCCAATTCTAGATGGTCGTAAGTATGTTGTTTTTATTAATTAGCAATGATTCAAAGTGAATATTGTATATAAAGAAAATTATGAGTGCTGCCAGCACAGGGCAAAGTATTAGCAATTTCTTATGCTGAAGTGTACGATGTGTTGCATACTTATTTAGAAACAATTCCTTTGAATTTAATTTTTTAAACAATTTTTCTTCACAAAAGTTTCTAGCTCACAGTGACTGATAGGGAGGAAGAACATATAAAAGTTAAAATTTATATGTTCGTTAAAAGCTACCAAACCGAATGATCTATTTTAAATATTATATAGTGGGTCATTCCGGAACTATTATCTATAGCTAAAACGGCTGGTAAAAAATTCTTAATTATTTTTTAGTGTCCTAGTTTGACTGATTATTTATTGGGATCAATTTTGGTAAACTGAAAAGTTTAAAATCGCGATCTATCCATCGGGTTTGGTTAATTACTAATTACTAAACAATATTCTTCTTTACTTGTGCTATAAGACTTTCCGTCATGCCCGATTTCTAGATTGTAGGTCCACGGGAAGAAAGGGTTTGATGAACAGTCTTTGTACTTTAGATCAGTTGGAGCCTTCCTTACCATTCTTTTGGGCTTTCACATTTTATGTTTTCCTATTTTCTAGTAATGTTCCCAAATATATGCATCACGTGGTTTTGTGTTATGGTATACAAAAAGGCAATGAAACAGAGTGGAACTTGTTATGGCAAAGATATAAAAAGTCGAACACGCCCACCGAAAAGCATCTAATACTAAAATCGTTGGGTTGCACCAAGATTGTCCCATTATTGCAACGTTACTTGGAGTGGACTCTTAACGATAAAAGTGGTATAAGAAAACATGATCGACTAACAGTATTCACAGCAGTTGCCCAAAATGACGTAGGATATCATTATGCCGAACAATTCCTTCTAAATTACATTGAAGAAATATATGAAAGGTAAAGTTATATAATGAAAGTAATGATAAATAATCGCCAGGTTCATACATTATTAATTTCAAATCACTTTTTTCGATTTTTCATTTACCCACTACAAACTACCTCAAATTAATGAGGGAATAATTGTTGCTGGCTTTACGCACCAATGTTATTTCATTGCCCTGTGTATTAATAAGCATTGTAAGCCAAAGGTCCCGGGTTCGATTCCCGGCGGGGGTGTGACAACAGCAACAATTTTCCCTCATTAATTTGAGGTAGTTTGTAGCGGGTAAATAAAAAATCGAAAAAATGATTTCAAATTAATATTACATATTAATCCACTGTTAGGTAACTAACAATGTCATAGGTTCATACATGCTTATACAGATAATACCCGACTGAGTTCAAACTTTCTTTACATTTTTTTTTTTAATTGATACACATTAACTTAACGTCAACAATAATTAATGTAGGTACAGTAGTCCGAGAAGAAAGGTACATCAATTTTAAAATATACCCGATCTGAGGTAATCCACCTGTTTCATCTCCGTTTCCCTTTTATTTAAAATATCCATGGAAATATTTAGTCCTGAGTCTCACCCAATAAGTCAAGGATAGATCAAATGTAGGAACTGCGCGAGTTGTAGGTACTCGGAAACAGCGGACGAAGTTGCTGCGCAATATAACTGTGCGCATTTCACTTGACGCATGCGCAAGTAGCTTTCGTTTACGATTTGACTAGGAGCCTAGATTCAATTGGCTATCAATACTACGCACGCGCAGTGTGTCTATTAAAGTGTAACTCAACGGCTTGAGAAAGATCAGTTGATGTAGAGACGCATCCATGGTCTCCATCTTGTGGTGGTAATGTCTAAACATTACCCTATTTAAACTGCAGAAGATTAGATAAATTGTATCTATAAAAAGTTAAAATGATAAATCTAACAACACTTTTTATTGTTTTCAGAATGAAGCCTAACATTAATGAACTATCGGCCTATCTGTTAGTTATTGCTGAACAAATTACCACCGGTCCAGGACTCGACAGGGTAAGAAAAGCCTCTTTAATACACAGGGCAGTCGGAAAGTAAATGTGAAAAGGATAAATGAGGCACCTGGTTTAAAATTTTTATAAATTAATCAGCTTACATTTTTACAGCTCAAATATTTAACCAAGAAATATAGCAAGATTTCCGAATTAAAAGGTGGACTTCAACGAGCCCTCGAAACCGCAACGATTAACATCCGATGGCATACATTATTTTTCAATAATATCGAAAACTATTTCGAAATTGGCAAATAAATAAGAATTATGAATTTTGAAAATCATCTTAGTCTCTTGTTATGTTTTTTTGCTTATTATTAAATATGTTTAATTTCACTATATGATTGCATGTAATATACTGTCACATCAAAGTTACAAAAAATGAATTAAAGAAGATTTATTATTGGAAGTAGTCAGTATCAATCTATTGGTTTAGGTAATAGCAACTTCGTAAGTGTTGTCTTCTCCTAACGTAACTATAATCCTATGCGTATCCATCAAACTACACACCTAAGTAGGTGACATATTATCCAACTAGTTTACAATATAGCCACAAGTACATAGATTTACGTTTACCTGAAAATAAAACCTGCTTTTCTAAGTATTGTCCTATATTATATGAAACGATCGCTGAAGGTACCTGTTTGAACGAATTATGTCAAATTTTTCAAACGAATGATGTCCTTCTTTTATAATTTCATGTAAATGTCCCTGCGTTTTTCTCTTTCCCTAATGTATAATTAAAAAATTAAAAAAATACATTTTGATATTAAACTTATATTAATTTCGATTAAATTTGTTATTTTTTGAAACGTTTTTCCTAACAATAAACGATTAATTATTATTGACCTATAATAATAATCTTGGTACTGCAAAATTTGTACTTTCTTAATTGAAACATCTCTTGAAACATTGTTTAGAAGAATAATAGGCATTTAATCTACCCATTAATAGACTTTAAACGAAATTAAAAGGAGGTAGAATATAAGCATTTGGAAATGAATCCAATAGTTGTGGAGACGTTAAACGCGATTCACAGAATAATTAAAACAAGTCATAAGTGTTTTGCCAAAACCTGCCTCATCAGATGCCTTCTCGAAGTAGATGTGTCTCGTACAGGTAAAATGCAATTTACACGAAAGTAGTGATAAGATTATCAAATATCGTAGATTTATAAAATAGAGTATATCGATATTGATTGAAATCTATAACTTAATACTATACTATAATTTTACAAACCAAAGTTTCGGCTGTTAGACCATTATCAAAAGATACAGAATTGTACCTACTACGAACGATATATCGTCAAGAGTAATGTCTGTGAAATTATTCCCCGAGCTGATGAGAACTAATAAGTTGATAATTGCGCTCCATGTGTTTAAAATTGAAAGTTCTTTATTCCCAAAATGTTTTTAGAACCGTAATCCAATTTACTACCTTAAATCCAGTAGTATTATTTTTATTAACATCCAAAATTTTTAATAAACTAATATGTAATACAATTAGTACCTAAGTATGTACAGAATTCTCTTGATGATCAATTTCCGTAAATATAATGTATATGAATTTATGGTTCCTTTCGGTTGGTTATAATAAAATATAAGAAAACTAATGAAAGTACTAATAATAATCTTTGTGATACTAATACCTTTGTGACATAATTTAACATTTTTAAAGAATTGTGTCGTGCCTGACAACTCTATGCCTGTTTGCCAATTTACTAGTGACGACAAGGGGTAGAAAAGTTTTTTTACCAAGAAATGTGGTACCAGAACATTACAATTTGGAAATAATAACGCATTTAGCAGATGATGAAAGCAAGAAATTCACTTTTGAAGGAAAAGAGAATATACTGGCAAGTTTTGTCTTTAGTATTTTACTAATTTTTACAAAAACTTAAACCAGCACAAGTAGCAGATACTTTTAAACACTTCTATTGTGGAATCATGGTTACGAAACTGAAATCTAACGTTTAATTAAAATGAAAAAACTAAATGTATCTTTATAAAAATCCTTTACACCTAATCGTGCATTTGAATAATCCATTTTTATAGATAAATTGCACAGAAATAACAGAAACCATAATAGTTCAATCAGTGGAAATAACGATTGAAGAAATAACAATCGAACACAAAGAAGAACAAAATGTCGGTGTAAAACAGTGGCTCTTAGATAAGAAAAGTGAAACTCTGATTATCAAATTAGATACTTCTTTAACGGCAGGCTCTCGCTATAATCTTGGCATAAAATTTTCCGGAAATATTAACGACGAACTGTTAGGATATTATAGAAGCAGTTACGTCGATAGCAGAACGAACCAAACGCGATGGTTGGCTGTGACGCAATTTGAACCAACGTCTGCCAGAAGGGCATTCCCATGTTTTGATGAACCAAGTTTTAAAGCTACATTCCAAATAAGTATTGGAAGAATGGAGAAATACACTTCTATAAGTAACGCACCGCTTGAGAAAACTGAACCTATGTAAATAAATTTCGACAACTTTTAAACATGTTATAAGAAATACGTTCCTGTCTTACGGTAAATAGGAACCCACTTATTCTTTTTTTTTTAAGGAACGATAGGAAAGGTTGGTTTTGGGATAGATTCGGAAAAACTGTAAAAATGTCAACATACCTGGTAGCTTACGTTGTGTCTGACTTTAAATTTACTACAGCCACCCCAATTCACAACACCACAATCAGAGTCTGGTCAAGAGAGGATGCAATCAATCAGGTAAAATAAAACTTTATTTACATATATGTCCGGAAGGATAATTTAATCTTTTCACTTTCTTGAAAGTGATTTTCATATTTTTCATGCTTTCCACCTTTGAGGTTAAATACATATATCTAGAGGGCTTGTCATAAATAATTTCAAATGAACCTTGTAATGGTCCCTCAGTAAAAATTTGGCTCACCGTTTAATGTCCCTCTTAAAGCCAAATAAAGCAAAGATAATTGATAAATAGTGTTGCAAGAGAACTCTGTTTCCGCAATCGCGGAAGTTCCGCATGCATTTTCACATCCGCTTCTGCATCTGGTTTCGGAAGTAAATTTCAAGTTAAAAGTGCTATTTTGAAGCCAGAAAAAGTTCTATTTGGGATTATTTTGTTGATATAAACGATGCAAGTGCTAAATGCAAAGTTCGTAAAAAAATATTCGCGAAAAGTGTGTACGACCACTGCACTAAAGAGTCGCCTAAAATCACTACACTTCCGCAAAAGTTTACTATTTACTTCTATTTCCGTTATGACATATCCGTTGCATTGCTATTAACAAAGTATCTTCATACTCATGGTATAATATGAATAAATTGGACTATCCAACTTATATACATACTAGCGACCCGCCCCAGCTTCGCAAGGGTGCAATGCTGATACTTAATATACTATAGAATGTCTTTATATACAACTTTTACAGCTTTTTTGTCATTAGATAATACAAACCGGCCCCCCGGCCGGTACCGTCGCAACCGCATGTCCCTGCATTTTAAATCTGTAATATCTTCGAAAATATTCATTTAAATTACATGCTGTAAAGAGCCATATTGATCTATATTAAATGCACAATGTATTTAAAAGTACTTAATTGGATAAGGATTAATGCTGTATTGTTTAAAATCACTTCATAAATAAGCCATTATTTCTCATAAAAAGTAAACGATAAAAAATGGTTATTGTGGGTAATCTTTAAGAGATAGACATATACCATCGCGGACTTTTTTGTAGACCTTTTTAAAATGTACAATATTATGGTACATTATTTTGATCTATCTCGTACGGTTTAGCCAGCGTTTACAATGTTTATTTACGACATCACATTAGAAACCTCTAAAATTATCAGTGTTTCTCTACTATATTATGCATGTATTATACATATAAACCTTCCTTTTGAATCACTCTATCAATTAAAAAAAACCGCATCAAAATCCGTTGCGTAGTTTTAAAGATCTAAACATACATAGCGGCAGACAGCGGGAAGCGACTTTGTTTTATACTATATATAGTGATAGTGATGTTCATCTATTATGTGTTATATTGTGTGTAAATTGATATCAGAATACAAACATTTCTTTTTTTTTTTTTTTGATATATAGACTGCATTTCCAGGACAAATTGGGGCAACAGTGTTAGCATCATTTGAAGATTTTTTAAACGTTTCATTTCCATTTCCAAAACAAGACATGATAGCTATACCAGATTTCAAAGCTGGCGCTATGGAAAACTGGGGATTGATAACCTTCAGAGAAAGTTTGCTGCTATTCGATTCGAACTTTTCTTCACTTTCTAATAAAATGGCCATTGCGACGATTGTTGCTCACGAAATGGCGCACCAATGGTTTGGAAATTTAGTTACCATAAAATGGTGGTCGGATCTGTGGCTGAATGAAGGTTTCGCTACTTACATGGCAAGCGCTGTAATCAATCATATTTATCCTGAATGGAATTTATTTGATGAAATGACAGTGGTCAATATGCAATCGGTATATTCAGTCGATTCACTACGAGGTTCACACCCGGTAAGTGTTCACATACTTCAAATATTAATGTGAAAATTCATTTTCCATTTATATACCAACTCTAAACTACCTCAAGTCAATGAAGGAAAATTTGTTGTGTCGCCGGGAAACGATCCCCGGACCTTTGGCTTTACACACCTGTGATCTGACCACTAAGCTACGACAGATGTTAACAGTAATAACGACAAACCGTACTCAAAAGTGACAGATCTGTCGAACTAATGTAATTATATTAATACTATATATAAGAAACACTTAGATAATTAATAGTCGTTAATATATCAAATATTAATGGAAAATTCATTTGGATATCACTAGGAATTTGAGTGTAATGAATTCGAAATCTGATGAATAATCGATTTTCGGCCTGAAATCAATAACTTCCCAATTTTTATAGCGGAGTCAAAAAGTAATCTGGTGCCCAGGGCGGCATTAACGGAAAATCCGGCCCTGATTTATAGCAACCATAAATTACCTGAAGTTAATAAAGAAAAATTAATTTTCATATTAATATTTGCTATTAACAACCACTATTAAAAATGTCAAAGTGTTTCATATTTATGATATTTACTTTAGTAGTCGTTTCACAACCGTCACTGTTTACATTTTTCATCGATGTAGTTGCTTATTTGTTATCGTTATTTCTCTATGAATTTTTTTTACAATATTTTTGTCTCTTAACCAAGCTACTTTACTCACTATTGCACCTAATTAATCCCCCCCCTCAATGCTTGCTACTTACTTACTTACACCCTGTATTGTTTTTAAATTGTATTTCATAAAGGTATTTCATTTTTGTCAGAGAACTAACTTATGGTATTAATTTACCGGTAATTTACCACAACGAACTTTACTAAGAAGTTTGATCGCTTATCATGTGGGTATTATCAACTAAATTGATTTATTGAAGGCGGTTTTCAGGGTTTTTACAAAATTTGCAAGGTATGAGGGCCAAGAATTCGATTTTACCTGGTCTCATTTTTGAGAAAAACTGGGAGGCCTGTTTTCATTCGTTAATAGAATAATTCTAAATTAACTAAGACCAATTTCGGTAAATGTCTAGATGATGGCCCCCACCCCCGAAGGGGTGGGGTGGGATCGAAAGAGGAGGTCTCCCCTACCACTCTACCATAAAAAGTTCATGGCGGTCTCACCCCCATAAAAGGTTATAGGGGTTAGATGGGGGTCGGGTAGGGGGGATCGAAAGAGGGTAGTCACCTGAGTAAACCCCATAAACAATTTGCGGCGGTCTCACCCCACATAAAAAGTTGATTATTTTGTCAATTTTCATACACTGTAATTCAAATAAAATTCAATAAAAAAAATATTTTCAAGCGGGTGGAGGTGGGGGATGGAAAGAGGGTGGTCACTTGAACAAAACCCGATAACCTAACCTAACCTACCCTATTGATAAAGATATTTAAATAATGTTTTATATAACAATATTTGTATGTATTTTTCCATTAGTTCCATTGAATATTGTTTAAAAATGACTATATAAATATTTACATGCCTAGAAATGTATAAAAATTGGCATATTTATTAACTTTGAACCCCTATAACTTTTTATGGGGGTGAGACC